AGAATGGTATTTGGAGAAGGCGATATAATTTCAAATTGTACGAGAAGTATAAAAAAATAGTAAATGGTAGGGATGTAATATCGTTCATAAAAATAGGTAGGCTTAGATGGGCTGGACATGTGTCAAGAGCAAATGAAAATTACCCACCCAGACGAACTCTATTATCGGTCCCAGTGGGAAATAGGAGTAGAGACAGACCACGACTGAGATGGAGGGACGGTGTGGACGAGGACGCAAGGAAAATCGGCGCGGCAAATTGGCAACGGTTGGCGATGAACAGAAACGACTGGCGAAATAGACTGGGGAAGGTCAAGGCTCAACTAGAGATGTAGCACCACGGATGATGATGGTGAAAAATATCATAAACACACCACGTAACAAATTGGTTATACAAGAGAAAGTGGAAGAAAAGAGGACCGGAGAGACGACGCACGTTCTGGTTGAAAAATTTAAACCAGTGGAGCGAATAAACAACAGTAGTACTTTTCAAAACTGCTGCAGACAGTAACAAATAGGCCGTGATGACCCACAATGTCCTTAAAGAATGACTCAAACTAAGGAGAAGAAGAAAACCGCTGGTGGTAATAGCTGAGATCCAAAAGACTAAACAATTTGTAGTGAACAATTGATAGGAGATAAGAAGAAACACTTCTTCTTCTCTTCTTCTACTTTTTGTAGATCTTTCGATCTGTTTAATTCTGAAGCTGCCTCTGGTTAATTTCTTGGGAGGTAGATTGCCAACTATCCCTCCATCTTTTAGGTGGTCTTCCGTGGGGTCTTGAACCGGGCGGATTGTTTTCTAGGGCAATTTTTGGGAGTCTATTCTCATCCATTCGTCTTACATGGTTGTACCACATCCTCTTGCGCTGCCTTCCCCATCTTACAATATCTTGAATTTTGCACTGCTCTCTAATGTTTGTATTTCTCACTCTGTCTCTTCTTGTTTTCCCCATTATTGTTCTTAGGGTTTTCATTTCGGCAACCCTTAGCTCTGTTTCGTTTTGTTGGTATCTTCGCGCACTTCTATGCCATATGTCATGATCGGTCGTATGCAAGTCTTATAGAATCTAATTTTACTATCTGTGCGCATATACGGATTTTACCAGACTATTTCCCGCAGACATCCTGACAGTGCAGATGCTTTGTTGATCTGACTCCTCAGGTCCTTTACTGGGTCGTGGGTGCTTGGTATATCTATGCCCAGATATCTGAATTGCATCACCTGTTCTATGGGGTTGTCCTCAACCACTAACTTACATCTGAGCGGATCTTTTGCTATTGTCATACATTTAGTTTTGTTGGTAGAGATGTTCATAAAGAAGAAACACAGGAACGAAAATTCAGGATGTGGTGCGATGGAACGATCACGATGCCGTAAATGGAGAGAGCAGGATGTCGGTAATGGAGAGATCGCGTTGCCAAAATGGACTCAAAAAGAATAGAAACGTCGCCAAGAATTTAATCCTGACACAAAAAATCATCTAAGTGGTAAGATGAACGCAACATAAAACATATATCTTGGGTAAGATGAACGCAACATAAAACAGAACGCAAAAGGACTGGCTGTAGCCTATACAGTTAGCTATAAGTACAGCAAATTGCTCTCTATCTTGAGCTGTTCTTAATATCGAATGTGTGTCCAAGTTTCTTACATTTTTCAGCCAGGAGCATTTTCTTCTTCCTGGACCTCTTCTTCCTTCCACTTTCCCCTCCATTATCAGTCGTAGGAAGGTGTATTTTTCTCCTCTGTAAATATGTCCTAGATAACTCGTTCTTCTGGTTTTTACAATATTTAGGAGTTCTTTCTCAGTCCCCATTTTCTCAGCACCTCGTTATTGGTTACGTGCTCTGTCCCAGAGATCCGCAGCATCCTTCGAAAAACCCACATCTCAAATGCTTCTTTCTACAAGTCTCATACTTGTGATTCCGAGAGTCCATGTTTCCACTACGTATAGCAATATGGAATAAATGAATGTTTTTACAAATTGGTATCGGATATCCAACGATAAGGTATAGTTTATTAAGAATTTTTTCATTCTTTGAAAAGCGGACCTAGCATACTCTATACGAGCACGTATTTCAACTTCGTAGTCAAGATCGTTTTTTATCCAGCAACCAAGATACTGGAATTTTTGTACGGGTTCTATCTTTTTGTTGTAGATAATAATATTAATGCACTACTTTTGTTTTATTTGCATTTATATTCAGCTCCAAGCTATCTTTCTCTCTGGTTATGGCATTCAAAAGTCGTTGCAAACCTTCAGCACGGTTCGCAATAATGACGGTGGCGTCTGCATATCTTAAGTTGTTTACATATTCTCCGTTGATTTTTATTACTTCTTCAATATTTTCGAGGGCATTTTGGAAGATCTTTTCGGAATATATATTAAACAATAGTGAAGAAAGTACACAGCCCTAGCGAACTCCTCTTTTTATTGACATTTCTGCTGTCATATGATTGTCTATTTTAATCGACGCCATTTGATCCCAATATAGGTTTTTAATAAGGGCCACCGTGTTATGGTCTATACCATGGCACAGAATAATAAACAAACAGAATGCCCACTCTCCACGGAAAATTAAGTACGCGCATCTCCTTCGCGCAGACGTTCCGCCATGTTTTACGAGGATTTTAAAGGGAACCAGTGTTGTTTATGTGGTGTGCATGGAAAAAAAACCAGGTTTATTTGACTTACGGCAATCATAGACATACTTCTTCTTTAAGTGCCGTCTCCTTTAAGAAGGTTGGCTATCATCACGGCTATCTTCACCTTTGACACTGCTGCTCTAAACAGCTCAACAGAGTTACAATTGTACCACTGCCTCAAATTGTTTAGCCAGGATACACGTCGTCGGCCTATGCTTCTTCTGCCCAGTATCTTTCCCTGTATAATGATCTGCAGCAACTCATATCTCTCACCTCTCATGACATGACCCAGATACTGCAATTTTCTTATTTTAATTGTATTTAATATCTCCTTTTCCTTGTTCATTCTTTTTAAAACGTCGTTGTTCGTAACCTTATCGATCCAACTTATTTTTAAAATTCTTCTATAAGCCCACATCTCAAACGCTTCTATTCTGTTACTTATATCTTTTTTAAGCGTCCAAGCCTCCATTCCATATAATAAATAGACATACTATACAATTATATTAACAGTTTTAAATATAATAACATAAATATAATATAAAATGTAAACAATTGCATAACCTCACAAATCATATGTTTGTGTCCTCCTAAAACATGGCGCGCATGCTGAAAAACATCAAAGGCGGCATCTGAGAGTGGCCCTTCTGATTGTTTATTATTCTGTGACCATGGTGTGTTAGGGTTTCTATGAGTTCTGTGTGATTTACTCGATCAAACGCATTTTCGTAGTCGATAAAACAGAGAAACACATGTTTTCGTTGATCTCGGTATTTTTGTAGTAATATCTCTAGGCCAAATAATGCCTCCCTCCCTTGTACCAAGCCCCATTCGAAATCCAAATTGATTGTCGCTCAGCTTTCTTTCGCATTCTCTGTATATATGTTGTATTTTGTCAAATAGTAGTGTTAAGGACTGAATATTTTCTTCATTTATAAGTTTTATCATCTCTACATATATCTCATCTGGACCTGAGGCATTTCGTGGCTATTCCGTATTGATTGTTTTTGTAACTTCTGATGTTAATATATCAAGTATTGTGTCTTGTACTATATTCATTTGTGGTTCTGTTCTCTCGTCATCAAACAGATCTTCGATGTATTTTTCCCATATATTTCCTACATTTTCTGGGCTAGATACTATTTGGTGGTTATCATTTACTAGAGTTGTAGTGAATTTTTCCTTCATGTTTGTGACTTCATTAATCTTTTTATATGAATTGAAGTAGTCATGTTTTTTTTAGTAATTCCCTCGGTTCCTCACATCTGCTGTTCATTCATTCTTCTTTGACTTTCCTGATTTTGTTTCGGATGGTACTCTGGGTTTATTTATATTTTACTTCAATGCGGTTTTTTTAAGATCTTCTTACGTCGATCAGTTCTAGGATTTCTTCTGTCATCCATGTATTCTTTGTTTTTCTTGTGTTGTCTTGTAGTTGTTCTGTTTGTATAGTTGTGATTGTTGTTTTGAAGGTGTGCCAAATACTTTGTACTGATTCTTCTGTTACCGTGGGTGCTTCACTGGATTATTCTTTGATTGTATCATTGAGTATTTACTCTATCTCTGTCTGTACTGCTGGATCTTTAAGTTTTTAGAGGCTAGGTATCTTCTCTCTGCGTTTAATTTTCTTCAGTTTAATTGAGATTTTACCGATAACAGGATTGTGGTCGGAACCGATGTCCGTACCGGGATATGTTTTAACTGCCCTGAATCCATTTATATAACGCTTGTCAATTAATATATAATTATACGAAGAATGAATACGAAGAAGTAATATATAATTAATCTGGTTTATTATTATGTGGTTTTGATTATCTCCAGGTGCTTTCCATGTATATAATCTTCTTTTTGTTAGTTTAAACAAGGTGTTTGCGATCATTAGATTTCCTTCTTGGCAAAATTGGACCAATATTTCTCCTCTATCATTTATTTCGCCCAAATAAAACTTTCCGACTATGTCTTCGGTCCGCCCTTCACCTACTTTAGCATTAAAATCTCCCATAATAATGTTTACAACATTTTTCTTTGCGATCTTCATTAACTGTTTGATCTCTTGGTAGAATTCTGGTATTTCTCTTTCTGGGTTTTCTCCTGTATGAGCAGATACTTGAATAAAGTTAATATTTCGAGAAGTGGTATTAATTTGTACCACGGCTACTCTATCAGATATAGGTACAACGTTCTTTTACACATTTGTAAATTCATTTCATCATGTAATATTACATGAATGAAACTAGAATTCCCAAAGAAATATTTGGAACAGTACCTTGTTTTGTCACTGTACAGGACTCATTTTTTAGAAACATTGTAATAAATATTGTTTTTAAAATAAGATTTTTTTGTGTATTTTTAGGACAGAAAAGAAGGAAAATTGGCCTGTAAGTAAGAAATTGGAAGTAGAAGCTCATAAAAGATCAAGGCTTGTTGGAATAGGTGGTGTCAATTTAAAGAAGTTATTTGCTGAAACAGGTGTACACGTATGTAATGTTATTTTTATTTATATTTTAGGATCATCTAAAATATATATTTAATTTTCGCGTAATAAATGTCTAACTGTATACAACTAGCTATGCAACAACAACACGTTAGGATAGATAGGTCCCATTTAGTTTTCTAAGCATTCGAACAGAAATTAATAAGACTGATTTCAATTGCTAAATAAAATTGTTTTTTACACTGTTCTGGGTACAATCTAAGTCAAGTGCATACGTGCATACATGCAAGTTAAATTTCTCCCTTCAAAATTGGTTCTATTAGAAAATTGAGTCAATTTGGATGTTTTTTGAAGCGAAGCTTCTATACTGGCGTTGTATCATTTTTTCTCTACAGTAAAATTCAGAGGAATGCATCACGACAAGACGTCACGAAAGTGGCTAACGTCTTCACATCGATTGAATCTCCATTAATTTCATTCGTTTCTAGTTATCATATATTTATTAAAATAACTAAGAAAATACATACCTTAAATGAAAAATAAAAAATTAAAAGAATTACCTGCCAATAAAATATTTTGTAAAATAAACTGATGGGAGGCTGATAAATAAACCCCCATGTGTATGAAATTATTAGTTAAAATGTAAGGTTCTATAGGTACTGGTTTACTGAGAATAGGTAATGACTTGTGTACGTAATGTACCAGCGAGACTGCTTCCTAAAAGGCTTAAATCTAGCCTAAATAGAGATAACTTTTACACCTTCTTTCTTGTATTTTCTACAACGACTAGCTTCCGATTGTGTATTAATGTTTTGTTTTTACGTGACTTGGGTAGAAAAAGAAAGCTGGTGCCTGACGTCACAGATATTGAGAATACCCGTGTTTTGTCCTTCCGTACCGTACCGAACTAAGCCATGTACAAATCCACATTTCACGTATACATATGGTTTATTGCATTTCTGAATTCTATGAATATCTTGGTTATTATCTGATGGTTCAAGGTCAACAAAGAACATATTTACGGGCTCTTGTAATCCTATGGTTAGCATTAATGATTCTTCTTACCTTGTGACCCAGTTTTGTCAGTTCTTCTTTGATCTCTTCTGTTGCATGTGAACAGTAAAGATACTTAATTACGGCTTTGTAGGTTCTTCGATTGGTTGATATGTCTGATAAATAATGTTGTTCTCTCTAATATACAGTGTAGGTAAAATTTTATGGTCGGTATGGTAAAACTTAACAGGATATCTAACACAGATATAAAATCATATTTTCAGCGAATAGACAAAGATAACAATCATATTCCCCCTTGGTCTCCCCTCCATAAATCTTCTTGACGCCCATTTTGCCTGTTAGTGAGACTATTAGTTCTGATCAGAGATATTTTACATATTCTGTGGTTCCGATCCTCATAAAGCTAAGAAACTAGAGGTGGGTCCTTTAGTTTTTTAAATTTTTATCGGAACCGTTTTTCGTAAACTGTAAACTAGTTGATTGTTTACCAGTATTCAAATTAGCGAGTACACAAACATATTGGCTATTATCGTTTATGTGTATAAGTATTGAAGTGAAAGAAACTAACGAAGAATATATTTATTATAACTTGAAAAATAAATTAAACAATACAAATAGTACTTACATTTACATGGACTTATCATCTTTATCAGTTTCTTTTTCTTGTACTAGTTAATTTTCAATAGTATAATCTTCTTTTTCTTTTTTTTATAGAAGTAACCAGCTTCAACCATCAACTAGTTGATTTTAACGAATTTAACCGAAAATTTAGAGTTTAACACGGTTTAATTAGACTGCTGCCATTTTTCTGGAAACCATAATTCAGAAAACATCGCTTTTAAAATTAGTGAAATTATTATTCAGTGGGGTCTAAAACAAAAAGTAAATTTTGCAGTAACTGATAATGCCTCAAATATGGTCATAGCTATTAAATATGTTTTGGAATGAAAACATTTAAATTGTTTTGCTCATACGTTAAATTTATTGATGGAGGACGCACTTAAATGCTGTCGTGTACAAATAGATAAAATAAAAAGTCTTTTTTTTCGACAATTCGGCAAAAAACACATTTCAAAAAAGTACCTTATCTTCAGAAACGCTTTTAAAGTATCAATTACAACATAACAAAGATCCCAAACGGCCAATCCAAGACGTGGAAACTAGGTAGAACTTCACCTATTACATGTTAGAAAGAATGACGGAGTTAGAAGAGGCAATCCGTTCCACATTGGTATCAGTTAATACAGACTTAGACTTAGACCAAATCTAAATAATGAAGACTGGATTATTTTTTCGTAATTGTCCTAAATTTTACGGCCTTTTAAAGAAATAACAAGTACAATGAGTTACCAAAAATACTTGAATGATAGTTCAGTGATTGTTCTGGTACGCTGCCTGCAAAAATCTTGCAATACAATTTTAGCAAACAGTAACCTTACATCCATAGTTAGTATCCGACGTAGTACGGGTTTTTATTACTAATTACGGGATAATTACTAATCTCGGGTTTAGCAAAAAGATTTAGAGGGACAGAATACAGTGGCATATTGTCATTATGTACGTTTATGGATTCACGATTTAAAGTGCAGGGATTTTCTGGTAAAAATGACGCTAAAAAAACAAAAGAAAGAGTTAAGAAGCTGGTTACTTCTATAATTAAAGAACAAGAAGATTGTTACTATTGAAAATCAACCAGTATAAGAAAAAGAAACCGATAAAGATGACTTAAGTCCATGGTGTTATTTGATCAATTAATTGGACATGACTCATCTAAACGTACACTTGTAGCGAGAGTCCATTACAATGGTGGAAAAACCATCGCCATGTATCTCCTAACTTAACCACTATATTCATAAAGTATTGTAAATGTGAACACATGTTCAAAATCAGGTTTAATTTTAAATAAAAGAAAAACACGGTTAATTAGAAGTAAAGTAAAAAAACTTATGTTTTTAAATGTCAATTTAGAGGATTCGTGATTTAATAATAACGTGTAATGTAAACGTAGGTACGATTTACTATTTGTATTGTTTAGTTTAGTTTTCAAGTTATAATAAAACCTTTTATTAGTTTCCTTCACTTCAATAAATATACAGATAAACGATAATAGCCATTATGTTTGTTTATGTAGGTAGTTTCTTACTTGAAACTACTATTAAAAAATCATAGTTACTTGTTTACGAAAATCGGTTTTGCGACGTCAATGACCCACCTCTATTCGTAAATACCTGTTTACGCTTTGATTCGGTGATTTGGCCACGCGACACGCCACGTTGGCAAATAGTTTTGTACGAAGCTTTTTTATTTATATGCAGTTTAATATTTTTATTGGAAATAAGGCATAATGTCACTTTAAAATAAGCTTATTTTGATGTTTAGATTTTTAATTTGGAAATCGTTTTTAAAATATCAAACATTAATAAATTTTATTTATATAAAACGATTTCCGAAGTATAAATCAAAATGTTATATTACACTTATTGTAAAGTAAAATTGTGGCATATTCCCAATAAAAAACAATAACCTGCCATTTAAATCCATTTCGCCCAAATTTCATTATCTTAGAGCATTGTTCAAATGCGAAAAAGACAACAGGTCAAATAAAACCAATAAGTTTGGCAACGTTGAATTTCCCCTTTTTATTATATCCACTCCATATCCACTCATTTATGTTCGGTGATATAAAAGGCGGACACCTAATATATCTCTCTCTTTTTAAACAGTTGTTTCTCACTCCATCTCATGTAAGGTCCATACCGACCATAAACTTTTACCTATACTGTATATTGATAATTTTCTGTATATTTCTGGGCCGCTACAATTTATTTTGACTGTATTATTTGTCATGGTCCTGATTTTGCATTGTTCAGGTTCAGCTATTTCTGTGAATTTTTTTCTCATTTCTGGGAAGTAGTTACACCGTAAAAACATATTGGTGGTGGTTTAGGTTTTCTTGGCGCTATTTCATTTTGATTGGTTTCATTTTTTTGGGTATCCGCTAGAATTTTCTTCGATAGTGTAATCTTCCTTGTCTGTTTCCATATTTGATCTAATTTTCTTGCGTTTGGTAGTTATAACTACTGGTCATGAGTGTTTTGTTGGCAAATTCACAATTTCTGGTTGGTAGTTGCTTGTTGGTGACAATCTGTAGTATTGCTGGCTTTTTGTTATTTATATTGGTGTTGTGTGGCACGTTTTGTTGATTTATATTTTGTTCTTGATTTGGGGGAAATATCATAGTGGTGGAAGGTGTTGTGGGTTGGTTTATTTGCATATTGTACATACCTGGTATTGTTGGGGTATTGATGAAACTTAAGTACATTTCGAAAATCTAGTTGAGCTCATGTAAAACGTTTTGAGTAGAATTTGAGTGACTTTGTATTGTGTGTGTTAACTTTACAGCTATGAATATAACTAATTTATACAATACACAATTCTGATTGTTTATTATTCTGTGGCCTGGCCTACTAATATAGCTATATCGTTTTAAATATGTTTCTCTCAGTTCCTCTAATATCACGTTGCCAAAGACGTTCATGTAATGCTAAAATATGGAACTTTTACTAACGTTTAGCGCAACTTCACTGAAATGCTAATTTTCTTCCAAATTTGACAAAACTCTTAATTTTTAAGACTGAGTTAAATCCTGTGACACTTTTGAAAATTCATTTGACAATTGTTTTTAAGAGCTTCAAATTTGACTACGACGAACGGCTTATACGAATGTCTAGTCATATATAAACTTTCGTAATTTTTATCTCAATTTAACATGCACCAATATGAACACAAAATACGCTTTAACGATGTGATAATTTTTAATATGTTGTCCAAAGTGTGTTGGGCCGAAGTTATAATTTCGTCACGTTTTGCAGGTATCACAAGTAGACGACACCACATTTGAAGTATTTGCCCCGAGTCAAAGTGCCATGGATGAAGCGGAAGAAATAATGCAACAGTTGTTGTTGACTGAAAGAGCTCCAGATTTAGAATTTGGTGGCATATACAAGGCAACTATAGTAGAAATCAGAGACATCGGAGTTATGGTTACTTTATACCCAGGAATGCCGCCAGCTCTCTTACATAATTCACAGTTAGACCAAAGAAAAGTGAGTATTACATGAAAGTATAACATTAAATGTCTATAGAGTGATTATTATAACCAAATAGTAAATTCAAAAGTCGCTGATAAATTATATATCTCAGAAATATATGGAAGAGGCTGCTACTATGTCTTATATATGCAGTTGCTGTCCAATTGTAAAATAAGAGCAAGCAATTTTTAAACAATTTAAATAATTAAAGTTCTGTAATAATTAGATTGAAACATTTTCGTAGATTTTTACCTTTTTCCTTATTTTTTATACACGTTGCCTTTTAGTATGGTTTATGGTTTGAAACACGTTATATGATTTTTTATTGCGCATCATATGTCCTGGATACTCTTTCTCTTTTGAAAAACGTCACTGGTAATTCTGGCCTATTCAAGAAACCCTTAATGTTTTTTTAATTTTTTATTTCCTATTTCTTATTTGGATCATGTATGTTTTTTTTAATAATCTGTAAGTGAAGCTATATATTTTGTCTTTTTATGACTATCTTTTTGACATGTGTTCCGGTTAAAAACTTTTGAGTACCCAAGGTATATGGACTGGTGACATATTTAAGTCACTTATTAAATAATCTTCGACCAATTCTAATTTTATGTCATCACGATTGTGTGATTGTTCCAACATTTCTTTCTTGTGGTGTCGCCGAAGTTCTAGTATCGAAGATTGGCTCTTATCCCACCAAATTTATTTGTATAAAACCACTATTTTAAAAACTGTACATACAAACTAGTCCACTGTGTACTATTTGTAAGCTACGTTATTTTTCTGCGTTAAATGTTTTCTCCACTGTCATTTCTCTACTTGTTTGAATTTCTGCATCTGTAGTTAAATGATATTTGTTCAAATTATCAAAATTTCCTCTTAAATTCCTTATAATTTGTATTGAAGGTACAGTCCACTGACTAATCTTACACATCCATTGGCCCTCGGTTGGTTGTCTTGTATCTGGCGCTACATGCTAACATCAGACTGAAACTAAATTAGTCGAAGCAAATGCTTTCAGTCATTAATTGATTCGTTGTAAAACAAAAATTCATACCACGTGGTCCAGAACAAAAGATTTAAATTTCTAGTGGAAAGTGACACGATTGGCGACAATAGTTTACTCTCTGTACAGCAGGTTACAACTCTGGATATTAATTTTAGGATTTGTTATATTCTAGACTTGCCTCATTAATATGTTGTTAAAATTATTGTTTTTTGTTGCAGATTGCGCATCCGTCAGCATTAGGTCTAGAAGTAGGTCAAGAATTGCAAGTTAAATATTTTGGAAGAGATCCCGTATCTGGGTTAATGAGAATTTCTAGAAAAGTTCTTCAATCAGCTGTTCGGTAATATATAACGGCTGGAATTATTTGATAGGCCATTTTGTTGTTCCCAGTTTTAAATTTGGCCCAGATAAATATAAATAATAAAGTTTATAATGTTTTTATGTATCTATTTTATATAAAAAATGAACGAATAAAACCGTTTTTCTAGATCCCAGTTTAGTTTATAAGTTATCAGTTTATTTACACTGGAAGCATCGCATATAATAGACATAAGTTATGCAATTAACTAGGGAGGGTGAAAGACGATTGTGGTGGCTACCAAAGACCATCTACTCCATAGACGGTTCACGATCACGACAATGCTTTAGTTCTATCCAAATTTTGCGCCACCTGGGGATGGATATCTGAACTATTTCTAATGGCGGGGAATTTAAACGAAATTCTAAACCGGGAATTTCAAATATTAAACCGCGAAATTTAAATTGTAAATAAAGCGGGAAATTTAAAACTTTTATACAGATTTAGTAGATGATCTCCGATTTTCATTAAATTTGGTATATTTGCGTATTTTTAGCTGCAGATCACGAACATAAATATAAAACATTTTTGGGGGAAATGGATAGTTTTTGAGTTATTGTATTTTTGTAGTATCTTTCACTTTAATCGCGTCAAGTTCTTCTTTAAACACGCGGTGTATAACATACTTCCTTCTTTTAAGGACTGCCTTACAAAAACTTATAGATGGTTTATTTTATTTTTATATTTAATCAATTTAGAGATAGTGTATTAAAACGGCAATGTTTGTTGACGAAAGCCATGCTAATTTTTAAATGCGATGTCACAAACAACATTGTGAAGTTCAGAAGTTTTATTGAAATAAAAAAGAATAAAAGAGTTATAACCATTTTTTATATGGTAGTATGAAGAATTAAAAGAAGAAAGTATATATATATATATATATTATATAATGTGTTGAAACAAATAATACCTGACGCCGTTAAAGTGAGAGATAGATAATAGCGCCCGAAAAAAGACTAACTCAAAAACTATATATTTCCCAAAAAAAATATTCGTGATTTTTAACCCAAAACATGTAAATATGCCAAATTTCATAAAAATCGGATAGGAGCCTGTCTACTAAAACAGTTATTAAAACTATAATAAAAGGCACAGGGATGAAATTATCTTTTTTTAAAGGAGGAAAAATAAAGAAAAATTTTAAGACAATAAGTGATCATATTTACTTACTTATATAAAGTAATAATACAATGAAAACATACAAAGTATAAAGTATTTATCTGAAATAATTATGTTGGTAGCCTCTATAATATAAAATATACAAAATAGAAAAATATGTTACACAACTAAACATAACACAATGGCATAGAAAGCTTCAGAAAGTCGAGGCCCTTTAAGGTCTTTAGTACCACGAAGATGATGAAAGTTTCAGAAATTTAAATGGTATCATTCGGTTTTTTTATATTTTTCTTCTTCTGGTGTAAATGGTCTTTGGTGGCTACAAAATAACTGGAACATATCGGTTAAGAGATGGAAAACAGGTTGAAAGGTCCCGAAGTGAGAGCCCCACCATCCGATTTCATAGATACAGATTGGCAATCGGGGGAAATTACAAATACTCAGAAAATCTAATTAAAAGACTGGAAAGGTCGAAATCACAGACCAACTAATCAAGTCAAGCAAAACGCGCTGGAACAATGGATATATTAAAGATAACTATTTGGAATTGTAGTGTAGAGGGACTAAGGTCAAAGGAACCGTCCAGTCTCAGATTGTGCGGAGGAGCTCCATACTGAGTAGGACATTGGGTGGGAAAGCTCTTATCTCAAACACGGCGTTCCAATGACCAGTAGGGAACATTCTATGGATATATAGGACAGATGAATTAGGGTATAAATAAAAAAACACTATGTCAAAAACACAAAATACACATTGTTCAGGGATCTATATTTCTTTATTAAAGCTAATCAAATATTGAATGTCTTTGAGGTTTAGAGTTTAGGGAAATTTACTTTTCTGTTCATTTCTTAAAATAATGCAAAATAACCATATGCATTTATTGTACATACTTTTATATAGAAGCGCGCTATATGAATTTTAATTTTGTTGTCACAAATCGTTGAAATATCCAAGGGCATACTCTAAATAAACTTAAGAGGCCTAAGAAGGTACTACGACAGATAGTTTTCAGCTTTAGGATAGTGACGGTATCGTCCGCGACATGCCTTTGTTTACTTTCATGGAAGAATTTAGCACTCGTTCTAAAAATTACCGAGAAAGTTGTGCAGTCATGAATTGAGTAGTCACTTTTATCTACGTAGATTACCTAAGTCCTACAGAACGCCAGTTAAAACTAAGCGACTTGTGCTATGACGCGTTGAAACATTTTGCTTTTAAATTTAATAATAATTTTGCTATTTATTGTGTTCAGATGTCCTACTGTTCTTTTTACTCATATACACCACAACATGCTCAATCGGCAAATAGTAAAATAACCGCACACTTTAGAACAATATTTTAAACAGAAATAGTTATATCATGCTAAATAAGTTGACATTAAACAAGCATATAAAATTTTTACTTTGTTATAGTTAATGACAGGGATGTCATCTACTGGAGCATTGATATTTATTTTTATATTATTACATGTGGATGTCAAGAAATATCTAAATTTATACGAAACTATCCATGAAGTAATAAATTCTTTATTATATTAAAATAAACAGGAATGTGTCATCAACTAGTACAGAGTCAGGTATTGGTGCATTTACTTTAACGGAAGCAAACATTTCATTTCATGCGAATTAATATATTAGATTTTTCTAAATATTTGTTGCAGCCAAAGAAAATATGGTTAAGATCTCCGTAAGAACTTATACACTTGCCGAGAAGAATTTGGTCGTCAAGTAATTGAATATGTATTGGGGCGGTAGTGGTAAAGTGGGTTGCACGTTAGTAGTTTTTGTATTCTAATTTATTTTATATTTAAAATATATAATAATAATATTTATAATATATATATATATATTATATATATATATATATATATATATATATATATATATATATATATATATGTATATATATATATATATATATATATATATATATTATATATATATATATATATATAATAATATTTAAAATACATTATTAACTAAATATATAGAGCTTTAAGGATAAAATATTAATCATTATAAATATTGTGTCAGTCAAAGGAAAGTCATAAAATGTACAAAACTCATTACTAATTATATCATTTCCGTGTGTACCCACATTGATGTGTATTCTAGCAAAATAATTACACATAGCGACCAATATCCTTTAGAATGTACCGTATGCGTCTTTAGGACGTCCTCAATAATGAGCGAGTTAACACAAAGTATTGTATAAATGAATTTTTTTGTTCTATATTGTTCATTGTTAGCTTGAAAAATCAGATCTAGATCTGATGAGACTATCATCCTATTAGAGTTAAAACTCACCAAGTGCACTTTTTTGAGATTACTACATTTTCATTAATTTCTACTCAATACGGCTCTATCCGGTCGTGGAAAAGTCATTAAGTGCTTAAAACCTGCTAATTGCTGAAATAATATATGGTACAATTCACTAAGCGCAATTAACTGACAAGGTCAAAACAAACTGACATTAAGACAGTGGAACAAATTTCAAATAGACGTGAAAAGTCAAGAACCGTTGCATATCTTATTACTTAAATAACAATGGGGTTAAACAAGGGGTACATGCAACTTTTTTGAGAAAACCCATGAGAAAATGGGCCATTAGAACTGCACTTTCTAGTATAAGTTCTGCTGGGAACTTTGGAGGAAACGACTTAAGAGGAAAAGAATAACCGGGAATAACACGTCTGAGAATGTCTTACTATTGGCACTGTTTACAATCAAAGCGTATACCGCACTTATTTCTGCACAAATTAAAATTTTTCTTACTTTAAACCGACGAAAGATCAGTGTCTGTTATGCAGAAAATATGAAGATGCCTTACTAGAAAAAAGGTGGACCCTAGAGATGTATATAATTTAACAATTTATGCGGCATCAAAAGGAAACAACGGCTACTGCTATTGATGCAATTAGCTTCATGGGAAAAGGAGCAGTTTTTTAGCTGAAATAGGCACCATTCTGTACAATTATATTTTAAGCTCACCTGAAAGTATGAAGACTCTTGTTATATTTTTGGATACTTGTGGAGGGCGAAATAAGATTGTTGTGTCAGTACTTCTATACTCAGTTGCTGTTACTCGTTTGGAAGTAATAGAGCAGGCATTTCTTGAGTCTTGTCACTGCCAGATCTGATCGAAACGGAAGTAAGCCATACATAGTGAATGAACTGAAATATGATAATTTCATTGACCTTCACAAGTTGAGTTCATCACTTATTTAAAATCGAACCAAAGATTCCTGGCTACCGTTTGCTGACTACGAATAAAATGTGTTAAATTTAAAAAAAATTTGCCAGCTATATATATTTTTTTCAAATATGACCACACTTCGGAATACAAAAGAATTTTTGTTGGAAGACCAAAGACCCTGGAAGACCAAAATATACTGCTAGCCTTGAGGTGACTAAGGCATATACACGAATATTGCCAATAAGTTAATAAAACGACTTGATGCGCTTATGCCGTAGTGGTGCCATTCTTAATGAAACTTGGGCCTGGTATAATAGTCTTCCACTGAATGAAGGTTTGGTATATCGAGTTTCGGAGTCATTAATATCTGATAACCGGAGAGAAGAAGACGAGTGAAATTAAAAGTGCATTCACAGGAATTTTTTTTCGACATATTATGTACATTAACCATTTACATTCCATTGAAGACTAGATAATCTGTTTTAGTTATTTTGTAATATAATCCATTTTTAGTACTCATTTCTTTCATTTCGAATCCCAAGGTCTTGATACTTTAACAAGACAAACTCATTAACGCCATAATGTACAATTATTATTGCGTTCATCGAAAAACTCATCAAGTACCAAAATTAATCTAATATCAGTATAATAAATTATAGTCTTTGTAACGAAACATGATAAAAAATCTGTTTTTATTTAATCTTCATGTGAATTTAAAAACTAATTTGTTCACTTAAATCGATTTTACTCCACTTTGTATAGTTGATGATTATTACTTCTAATAGGACGATATATTGGTATGATCTTTATTTATGTT